GGGGGGGGGGGGAAGTGGCCGGAGAAGGCGGCGCGCGGCGGAGGCAAGGAGCGGCCACGCACTTTGGGCCCAGTCATGGTGCCGGCTGAGCGAGGTGTAAATGGCCCGGGCGATGCGGTTACGATCGGCGCTAATCTGATCCGAGTCGAAGTACGCCGCGCCAGCCGGACGCGGGGCCTTGGTGTCACTGGCGGCCGGGGCAGCACGCCGGTTGTGCGCTGGGGCATGCGCCGCAGGCGACGCCGCCGAGGCCGACGTCGGGGTTGAGCTGCCGGAGTCACCTGGCGCCGGGCTCGACTCCTTGCGAGTGCTGATCAGCTTGTTGGCGCTCTTCCAGTTGGAATAGATGGACTTGGCCAGGGCCGAAATCTCATCGTCATGTGCGGACCGCAGTGACCGGAGGTGCTTGAGGATGGGCATCTGGGCGCGGCCAGGGGGAGGGGGGGCGGGAGGGGGGACGGAGATGAATACACGGGTCGGATGAGGTCCCGGCAGGCAACGAGAGCCGCGCATCACACGAGGCGAGGGCGAGCAGGAGGGAGAAACGCACCGAGGCGTAACTGGAATCATAGGTGTACTTGCTGACAGCCTCAAGGAGCTCCATCACGACGTCCTTGTTCTGAGGGAAACAGGCAAACAGCCAGCCACCCGGCCAGCCAACCGACAAAGGCGGAAGTTAGCACCACGCGGCGAACCACGGAAGGCCGGCGGAACTTGGCCGAGGCCGGAAGAAGGAGGGCCAGGCTGCCGTCCAGACCGGCGGCTTGTCAGCGCGAGACAGCAGGCTGGAATGCGGCACGCACCGAGTCGGACTTCATGGCAGTATCGCGATGGCGGCCGAGCTCCTTCTGGAGCTTCTCAATCGACATGGTGGCAGGCAGGCAGGCAGGCAAGCAGGCAGGCAGGCAGGCAGGCGACGGGGACGAGAGAAGGCGAGGGGGGATGGGCGAGTACGAAACTGCGCAAGGTAAGGGGCGGAGAGAGAGAGAGAAAGAGGGAGGGAGGCAGCGGGACGGGGCAGATGGGCCAGGAGCCGCGCGCCGTCTGCCCTCGCGGCGGGGCGTCTCTTGGCCGCGATCCTGCGTGCCGATTGCCCTGGCACGCGCGCGCGCGCGCGCGCGCGCGATGCGTGCGCAAACGCACGCACACATACGCCGGCGCCAGGCCCACAGGGGGGGGCCGCCGCTCTGACCGTTGTCAGCTCATGCTTTGTGTGTGAAAGTGTGGTGCCAACGCCAGGGGAGTGGCCGCGGGGATGGCCGTGCAGTGTATTCGGGCAAGGGGGGGGGGGGGGGGGCAGGAGGCCGGCGCGTGCGGGGGGCGAGAGCATACCAAAACACACACATACATACATGTACACACAAATGTGGACTCATAAATATGTACTAAATATATGCATGTTTCGGTGGATGCTCTCAGGTATGGACAAAGGTCTGCCGGTGGGTGTATCACTTGCGGGCAAAGCGGTCGAAGAGGCTCGACCGGAGAGCACTGGCGCTGGAGGAGGCCGCCGTGCGCGGACTCCCAGGACCGGGAGACTGTCCGGCGCCGGCCAGGAAGCTGGCTGCCGACGAGGAGGAGCTGACCGGGGCGGCGCCGGTCGAGAAGGCCCGATGCACCGGGGTCGGGAGGGGCACCGGCGACTGCGGCGCCCCTGGCATCGGGGCCGCGCTCGAGGCTGTGGCCAAGGCGCAATCGGCGACCAGACCAGTGGCGCCGGTCGCTTCCGGGAGGATGTGAGGTCTGCCCACCACCGGGGGCAAAGGCGAAGCAGGGCCGGGGGCGCTGGGGGTGGTGATGGCAGCGCCCCGGGCAGTTGTGGAAGTGACCAGGCCGGTGGCATTGTCACCACCACCACTGCTGTTGCTGCTGCTGCTGCTGCCCGACTGCGAGGTAGCCACAGCCGAGAGGGCGCGCGTGCGAATTTCCTGCGGTAAAGGCCGGCATGCGACATGTGGGTTAGCATGGCTGGCGGTGGACAGAGCCCGCCAGCGGGCGCAAGGGCGAACGGCCAAGGGCCCGGAACACACCTCCTGAATGGCAACCAGGGTGTTGAGAAGCTCCCGGCGGCCGGACTTCTTGGCGGCCGCAATGCAGAAGTCCAGCGAGGAAGAGGCCTTCATCAAACGCGCAAGCTCAATGGCGCGGAAGTCATGCTCTTGGCGGATGGCATCCTACATATCCGGAAGGTGGCGGAATGACGGGCCGCAGCAAGAGCAGCCCCCGTCGGAGTTGTGAGATACGCGATCGAGGGTGAGGGACGAAGAGAGGCAGAGGGGCGACGACGGGAAGAGAAGAGGCAGAGGCAGAGGCAGAGGCGGGGGGGGGGGGGGTGCCCCTGTGCAGGGGGGACGCACCGACAACAGCCGGACCAGGAGCAGGTCATGCTGGACCAGGAGCTCGGAACGCTCGGCCGACCGGACATCCGGCGCAGCGAGCAGTCGCAGCACCACGGTCGCCCATTCCTGCTCGATGGTGGCGATGGACGTGGGGCCAGGGGCGTCGGGCCCGCTGGCCTGGCTGCTGCGAATGGGGCAGGCGAACTTGCTCGACTGTGGCAAGGGCCTCATGCTCGGCTCGGCCAGGGGGTACCGGAGCCCGCGGACGGCGCAGAAGCCACTGTTTCCGCCGTCCAGCGGCAGGAACACCAGCTGGCCATCCTCCACGGCCACGGGCCAGACGCTGGCCGCGCCGGCCGCCGCGCGCCCAGCGGCAACCATGTCCAGCACGGGGGTCCAGATGGCGGCGCCCGGCTCGCCAATCAAAATGCGAAGGATGCCCTGGGAGTCGAAGGTTGCCATGCGCTGAGCGGGCCCAGGGGGAACGGGGCGGAGCAAGGACGAGCCACAAGCAAGACCGATAGCAGTGAAGCATATGTGCACAGCGGAGGAGAGGAGCGGCCGGCGGGACCGAGGGGTTAGGCTTGCATATCATGCTCAGGAGAGATGGGGGGGGGGGGGGGTGACGCCAATGATGAGGCCCGTGCAGGGAGGGCGACATTCAAAAGGCCCACATGCTTGGGGGCGCACCTTCTCCGGCGTGAGACCCACCCAACGGAGGGAGCTGCCCGGAGTGAGAGGCAGCGCCTGGCCAGGGGTCCCGTCGGCCGCCAAACCCGACCCCGGAGTGACGACGAATTGAGCCCAGCAGGGCTGCACCTGGCCGGCCGCACGCCAGGTGACCACCAGCCGATCACCCATGCCAGCCGCCGCGGCCACCGGGGTGTGGCTGATGGCCGGCACCGAGTCCAGCTGGCGTCCGGGCTTGGAGTAAACACTCGGCCGGAAGGACCCGGGCACAGGGAGCGAGGCCACCGGCATCGGCAGGCGCCCGGTCGTGTACAGCCGAATGAAGCCGAGCGACGTGATGGCCGCCACCCAGCCATCGCCCAGGGCCACGGCTGCGGGCCGAAGCAGGAGGTTAGCATGGACGCAAAATGGCCCAAGAGGCATGGGGCATGAGCGGGGAGGAGCCAGAGAGGGGCGGAGAGCGGCAGACAGATCGAAGGAGGGCGGTGCGACCTGGGTCGCCACATGGAGCGCGTACCCTCGATGTGCTCGCCGGCATCGAGCGACAAGGTCCAGCTGACGCTCTCCGACCGGGCATCGAGCGAGGAGAACTGCAGCGTCGAGCGTCCGCTGGCGGAGCCGCCTCCAGGCCCGGCTAGCACGACGCCATGCTCGTCTGGATGGGTGGGCAGAGCCATTTGCACGGCCAAGTAGGCGACGCCGGGCGAGGGGGAAAGGGGAGACACAAGGGCGAAGAGCAGGAACAGGGCAATGGACATGGGGAAAGGTCAGCAGGCGTGGCGAGGAGGTGGCGCATACTCGTGAGGCCGGGATTGTGCCAGCACGTACTGATGGCGGCCATCGTGTAATCGGTGGCTGTCTGGATCTGTACCCGGCGGCTGCGACTGCCGGCATCATGCATTCGGGTCTCGTAGAAATGCTGCTGCGGCTCCCCCGGAGCGGCATCGCGCGATGGCGGGACCATATGCACCAGAACCATTCCGACATGGTTCCAGGCTGGGCGACAGAAGGGGGCGGGAGAGAGGACCGAGGCGGGAATTAGGTGGGGAGATAATTTGAGGAGGGCACAAGATGACTGTTGTATGGGAGGAGGGAAAGAGAGAGAGAGAGAGAGAGAGAGAGAGAGAAATGGGGGGAGAAACAGAACAGAAGAAAGGCAATGGGGAAGTCGAACGCACCGAGGATGCGTCGGTTGAGAATCCACGGCGTGGAGCCGGCACATGTGGGGCTCAGCCCGGTGTCCAGGCTGCCAGGCGAATCGGCCACCGGCCGGCCGGCACTGTGGAAGTCGAAGCCACGTCCGGCGGCCCGACGGCGCCCGGCCAGTGTAATGTCCTCGCCAGGAACCCCATCGTCGATGTCCAGGATACCGGCCCCAGGGCCGGATGCCGACTCCGACTCGAGGTCGTCATCCTCTTCCTCTTCGTCCTCGTCTTCGAAGTCCAAGCCGGAAGGACGCCAGTGCTTGTCGAAGACATTGAGACCCTCCTCCTCCGGGAAGTCCGGGTCCACCAGCCGGGGCCGAGGGCCGGCCGCGGTCCCCGAGCCGGGGCGCTCGCGCTCTGTTGCCGCATCGTCAACCAGCGAGGAGCCGGCCGGGCGGGGCCGCTTGGCCAGCGGCCCTGGCACAGCTGGCAGCGATGCGGAAGCCACCTCGGCGGCAGGGCGCTTGACCGTCGCCACGGTGGGTGGCGTGGCTACCGTGCCCGACTCCAGGAAGGAGGTATGAAGATTGTCGAAGTTGGGCGCCGGGATGTCCAGGTCGTCGACACCATCGAAGTCAAAGTCCTCATAGCCAGCGTCAGCGCCGGCGGCGGCCGCGGCAGACGCCGTGGAGTTGGCCCCAAGCTGCAGACGGGCCAAAGGGTCTTGGGTGCTGGGTCACCGACGGGGCAGGGCGGCGGAAAGAGAAAACAGGCAGAGGGGGAACCAGCGCAGGGGGAGAGCAAGGAGCGTGAGTCGAGCAAACCCACGACCAGGGACACCTTTGGCGAGCATTAGCACGCACGTCTGCCCGAGTACCCTGACCAGGTCAGCCGCACCACGGAGGGTCAAAAGGTGGCTGGCATCAACATTGGCCGTGGCAGCGCGGGCCCATTGGTCGGTCGGGACCGGGTCCTGGACCATGCAGAAGTGCCCGGAGTTGGCAGACTACGAGAAGCAGGCGAGATGGCGAGCGTATGAGTAGGCGAGGAGCGTGAAGGAAAGACGAAGAGAGAGAGAGAGAGAGAGACAAAGGGAGGAGGGGAGATGAGAAGCGAGGGGATATTGGGGAGAGGGGGGGGGGAGGGAAACAACGAAGATGCAGGCGAGCAGGGACAAGAGGAGGCACGCACAGCGACCAGGAGGTTGGCCCCGGCCGGGTGCCAGGTGAGAGACTCCATATGGAAAGCAGTGAGACTGCCAGACGCGGCCATGGTGCTACGCTCCCGGCCGAAAAGGGTGAACCGAGCCACCGGGGTGAAAAGGGCCTCGCCATTCACGGTCGAGGTGACATCTGGCGACAGGGTACCAGTGATGAAGGCCATATCATCATCACCGGCGCGGGGGCCCGAGGCGCCAGAGCCCTGTCCACCCACCGCAAAGATGACCACCCGGCCATCCTGCGAGGTGGCTGCCAGGAATCGGCCGTCCGGTGACATGGCAACCGCATAGGACTGCCCAGCACCAGCCCACGTGCACGCAATCGGCAGAAGGAGGGGGGGGGGCGCCGGGGAGCGGACAAGGGGGCCAGGGCAAACAATCAGCATCAAAGGAGAAGCGAGGACCGGGCGAGGAGAAGAACAGGCGAGCCGGAGCCACTCCATAGCGTACCTCGCCGGCGAGATACATGTCCTCGACGTGCACCGCAGCGGCCCAGGCCCGGCCAGCATCAGCCGGAGCACGGCACACGATGGTGATCCCTTTGAGCGGGCGGTCAGCATGGGGTCCAAACAGCAGCAAGGCAACGGAGCAGGGCGGCCCGCCGGCCAGGGCGTACCATTCTTACGGCCAGGAACGGCAAACCAACTACCCGACACATGCCAGGCCACCTGTCCGGAGAAGTTGAAGCTACCAACGGGGCGAGAGCGGAAAGCAATGCACGTCAGTCCAACAGGCACATGCCAGGCCCGGAGAGCGAAGGCGGGGCCGATCTTGCACGCACTGGCCGACCGGCTGGAAGATGCGAATGCTGGCCTCCGGAGCGAGGGTGCTCGCGGTCGAGCCGGTCACCGGCAGGGCCCACACGGCGAGGTCGCCGTCCTCCGGCGACGAGGACACCAGCATGCGCGAGGTCCCGGCGACCGTCGGGCCGAAGGCCAGCCCCCGCACCACGCGCTTGTGGTGCGTCAGGGCCAGGCTAACACTGGCAGCGCCGCTGTCCAAGCCGGTCTCGGTGGCCACCAGACGAAGCTCACCGCCCCTGAAGAGGCAGCGACGGCAGTGGTGTTAGAGATACGAAGGGGCGACAGGGCACCCGACCATGCGGGGGGTGGGGCGTCCAGAGGAACACGCACTCACTGGAGCTGGCCAGCAAGCGCGCGCAGGCCGACACAGACAGCGCACTGACGGGCAGGGAGAACCGGTCGAGGGTCGTCAGGAAAACCATGTTCGGCGAGGCGCCCGTTGGCTGCAGCAGCCGGTACAGCATCACTCGAGCATGGTCCGTGCCAGCCAGCAGCAGATGAGACTGTACATGACCCGGGGGAGGGGAAACAGGTGTCGGGAAGACGCCGACCGCGAAGGTGAGTGCGGGAAAACCGGCCCAAGGTGGAGCACATGTGCACATCGACAACAGGCGGTCCATGCCCCCATGCGCACCTTGGTGGCCAGGGCATAGGCAGCAAAGTCAATCTCATTTTCCAGTCCTGGGACATTGAACAGAGAGACGGGCTCCGAGGTGGCCCCGAGCGTGGCGGGGGCAAGGTCCTTCCCGGGCGCATAGTCGACCGGCGTGCGGGACAAGTGTCCTCCCGGGCTGGCGACCAGCAGCGAGCTAAGGGCATGATAAGATGTCAGGAAAAGGGAAGCAAGCTCCATCGACACCCAACATGGCGCATGGTCACCCACCTTCCGTCCTCGGTGAAGGAAACCAGAACGCGCTGGCCGAATGATAGACCGTCGGACTCGGGCACCGAGCGGACATCCAGGCGCATGATGCTGTCTAGGGGGACCCGGTGGGGTGGTGGCTGATGAGATGGGGGGGGGGGGGAGGGGAAGAGAGGAGGAGAGAGAAAAACAAAGAGGGGGAGAGAAGGGGAGGCGAGCGAGGGTGAGGCGAGGGGGGAGGCCAGGCAAGGACAACTGCGGAAAGGGTGGGGGGGGGGGGGGGGGGAAGAGGAGTGCCGACCGGGGGGGCCGCCTCCGCCGCTGGGGCTTTTTTATTTTGACATCGAGCCATCCGATCCCGGATCCCTGTCTGCCCGAGAGAGAGGGGGGACGGCGAGAGGCGAGGAGGAGAGACAGAGAGAAAGCCGACTGTGGCTCGGTGTTCCGATCTGCCCACAATGTCTGCCCCTGTCTCGCCCCTCTCCCCCCGCCTCGGTGCTTCCTCCGCTCCTCCCCGGGCGTGAGATCGAGTCAGGAGGAAGCCACGGCCAAGGTCGCGAGGGAAATTTGAAAAGATAACGGCGATGCCCGCCACATGATCCTCTTTCGTTGGCAGATACGGGTAGACCCAGGAAGCGCCGCGATCGGACCGGCTGGGCCGAGACGCATGAGACGGGGACGTGTAACCGGCCGGGGACACAAGACAAAAAAAAAGGATGGCAGAACCTCTGTATATACACGGGGGGAGGGAGGGGGAGGGGGCAAGAATGTGCACGCGAAATGAAAGACGGGAAACATGTGGGGCGCAGCCACGCCAGGGCGTGCGCGCAGGATAAACCGGAGGGGGGGCGGTCAGGACGAGGTGAGGGCAGATCTCGCGCAGGGGGGGGGGGGGAGGGGAGGGAGGCGCGTGCACATGTGCGCGCGAGACGCCACGGGTCCCATGGCCCCTCTAGCGGATGATGAGCGGCGAGTCGGGGCCTGTGAGGGTGAGCGGTGTGAGGGGAGTGCGACCGACACCGCGCCCCACCAGGTCCGGCACCAGCGGACCGGCGCCGCCAGGGGCCAACTTCATGCCCGGGGTGCCACCAGATGCACCGGAGGCCAGCTTCTTGCCCGGGGTGCCAGCGGCAGCGCCGGCGCCGGCACCACTGGCAAAGGAGCCCCCAGGCCCGGCATTCTCCTGGCCCACGCCGCCAAGCTGCACATGGGCCGCCGGGAAGAGGGTGTTGGCGCTGAGGGGGCCGGTGGCAGACAGCGGCTCGCGGGGGGTGGTGGTCGAGTCGACACGCGGCGAGCCGGTGGCGGCCGCGGCCCGAGCGGCCAGCGTCGTGTCGATTTGCAGGCGCCCAGGCACCAGGGCGCCGGGGCCGGAGGACCGCATGCCCGGGCGCGAAGTGCCCGCCGCCGATGTGGCCCCGGCCGCCGGCGAGTCCGCGGCAACCGCCGACGGCAGAACCATCGGGCCAAGGGTCGACCGGGACCGGGCACGCGCGGCCAGGGCCGGCGCCGGCCCCCCACCGGCCGGCGAACTGAAGGGCAGCACTGTGCCGGTGGCCAGACGCGAGGGACTGGCGCCCAGCGGCGAGCCGCCAGCCGCACTCGAGTCCAGGCCCAGCGCGCGGCGCCGGTTGGGCGTACTGGAGGTCACCCCGGGCAGCACGAAGCCCGACCGGCCGCCAGCGGTCGTCGGTGTACCATGCGAGGTGGCTACGTGCAGTGGGGGGGGGAGGAGGAGGGGATAGCAAAAAAAGGAAAGAAAAAAAACAAGGAGGGACATCCACAAGGGGTCAATATCACAGTCACAGGGGGGGGGCCGGTCTGTGGCGCGGCAGGGGCTCGACAGCGAGCAGCACAACGAACGCACCATTCTTCCGGGGCGCAGCCGGGGAGGAAAGGCCCAGAGTTGGTTTGAAAAGAACCTGCGACCCCAGGGGCCGGACAGGGACATTAGGAGTGGAAACGGCGGGGGCCTCCGCGGCAGGGGCCTCCGCGCTGGCGGCCTCCGCGGTGGGGGACTCCGCGGTGGGGGACTCCGCGGTGGGGGACTCTGCGGTGGGGGACTCGGCAGAGGCAGGCGTTGTGGCGGGAGCCTCGGCGGAGACAGTCTCGTCGGAGGGAGCTGCGACCGCGGCATCGGTCGGCTTGGTCGCCAGCAACGCAACGGCAGCAACGTCGGCCGGGGACAGGAGCTGCAGCTCCTCCTCGGCCGCGCTGTCCATGGTCGACAGGCGGCCTGGGCTCGGCATGAGGGACAAGCTCCCAATGCTGATGTAGAGAGACCGGTCGGCTGGTTGGGCCGGCGTGGTGGGCGCCTCGGCCGGGGCGGGCCCAGGGGCGGTGTGTGTGTCGGCCGGGCGGACGGGCGTCCGGCGGCGGACGACCGCCGGGCTGCGCGGATCGAAGGCCCCCTCATCCAGGTCGGCCGAGGCCATGCGCACCAGCAGCGAAACGGCCTCCGGCTCGGGCTTGGCGGCGTCCGCCATCCCGGGCTCGAGGGGCTCGGACCCGGCATCAGGCACACCCGGCACCACGGGCTCCAGCGACCAGCAAACCGTGGCCGCGGGGCTGACCGCGTCCGGGGCCGGCCCCTCGGCGACCATGGTGGCGGTGCCAAAGCGGAAGACCTTGACCGGCGTCCGGCGCACGACCAGCAACGGGCTCCGCGGGTCGAAGGCCGCATCCGAGCCCGGGGCGGCGGCCGACGATGGCTGGACCGGCGTCCGGTGCAGCACGGCCGTCGGGCTCCGCGGGTCGAAGAACCCGGCCGCCAGATCGGCCGATGCCAAGCGCGCGGCCGCCGGGGGGGAGGGCGTGCCCGGACCGGCGGCCGCCTCGGCCGGCCGGACCGGCGTCCGGCACAGCACGGCCGTCGGACTGCGCGGATCGAAGAACCCCTCCTCCAGGTCGGCCGACGCCAGGCACACGGTGGATGGCGGCATGGCGGCCGGCGGGTCGGCCGGCCGAACCGGAGTCCGGTGCATGACCACCGACGGGCTACGCGGGTCGAAGAACCCCGCCTCCAAGTCGGCCGATGCCAGGCGCGCAGCATGCACGCGGGGGTTGGCCTCAACCGGGGCCACTCCCGGCCGGACCGGCGTCCGGTGAAGCACGGCCGATGGGCTCCGGGGATCGAAGAACCCGGCCTCCAGGTCGGCAGAGGCCAGACGCGCCAGGGGGGCCGCGGCAGCCGGGGCGGCAGTGCCTGGCCGGACCGGCGTCCGGTGCAACACGGCCGCCGGACTGCGCGGGTCGAAGAACCCATCAGCAAGCTGGGCCGAGGCCATGTGCGCCACGTGGGGGCCCGGCAGAGTGGCCGCCGTGCCCGGCCGGACTGGCGTCCGGTGCAGCACGGCCGCCGGGCTCCGCGGGTCGAAAAAGCCCTCATCCAGGTCGCCCGACGCCAGACGGGCCTCGTACACCCGGGGGTTGGTCGTGACCGGCGCCTCGGCGAGGGCAGGGCCCTCCGGCCGGACCGGCGTCCGACGGAAGACAGCCGACGGGCTCCGCGGGTCGAAGAACCCCTCCTCCAGCCGAGCAGCGGCCAGGCGCGCGACAAGGGCCGTCGGGTCTGCCATGAAGGTGGGCAC